ATATAAACGTTTTGATAACTTTTATTGGAAAAAAAATCACCCTCCTTCGAATTCTCCGATGTACAGCAATAACTAGAAGCAACCCCTCCCCCACTGGCACAGCGATAAGTCTGTGGACTTACAACGCTATAAACCGGGTTTCGATACCCGTGGTAGGCAGAGTACAGGTAGCCCATTGTGTAGCTTTGTGCTTAACTTCAAAACAAAGAAACAAACTAGAGGGGAATTAATTAATTAATTATTAATTATTCGCTGTCTTCTTAAAAGGATTAATTTGCAGATAAGTTGTTTTTATTATCAGTAATCTGATCGTGAAAGTAATTAATATAAAAACGAATTACCGAAATAATGTCAGTAAGTTTTGAATAATCTATATAATGAAAAATGTTAATCTTAGCAGCAAAGTAGCTCTTGCTGTAATTCTAATAGGATAGTAACAATTCAGTAAGTCCCCTGGTTGGTCAGCGGTATATTTACGGACTTACAACGCTAAAAATCAGGTGTTCGGTTCCCCGCAGTGGACAGAGCGCAACGTAAAGCGACAGCAATGAGTTATCTATCAAAATAACACCAATAAAAGATGCAATAAAATATTTAAGTGCTAATAAACGCTTATGTCTCCTTATGTCAGATAGTATTACACGTAAAGTGCTTATAATTCAAGCTCCTCCTCAGCGGTAAGTCTGAAGGCTTACAACGCTAAAAACCGTGTTTCGATGCCCTTTGTGGGTGCAGCATAGATAGCTCATTGTGTAGTTTTGTGCTTAACAACAAAACAAACTGATATGTCAGTCATATCGGGGTTGTAAGATATTTGTCGAGTGTATTACATAAGAACAACAAGAAACAACAGTTTATTGAAAATTGTTTAGTTTTCATTATATGGATATAGTATAAGGAGCTATTTTTATTGACATTGTTTCTTGTGAGGATATTGAACATTGTTTCTTGTGAGGATATTGAACATTGTTTCTTGTGAGGACATTGAACATTGTTTCTTGTGAGGACATTGAACATTGTTTCTTGTGAGGATATTGAACATTGTTTCTTGCGAGAATATTGAACATTGTTTCTTGCGAGGATATTGAACATTGTTTCTTGTGAGGATATTGAACATTGTTTCTTGTGAGGATATTGAATTTTAACATTCTGGTACTATAGTAATAAAAGTTTGATATCTTTTAACTATGACATACAAGAACGTTTACTTATTTTATGTACTTAGGATGTAAAGCTTTATATTCGAATTTCTTGTATAATCTTTTTTTTTTTCAGGGTGACTCAGGGGGTCCGCTAGTGGTGAACCAATTTGGGGTCTGGTACCTTATTGGAATAGTGTCAGCTGGGTACTCCTGTGCCAAACATTATCAGCCTGGAATATACCATCGAGTTAGTAGCTCATCAGACTGGATATCTGCTAACCTTGTTTAACAGATATTGTACTTGACTGCAGGTGAAAAATTTTATCTGAACACAGCGTTTAATCTTCATGTTACTGTAAATACGAAATTGTATTTTACATTACGAAGTCTAATTTGATTGGATGACCGTAAATATGATTTTGGAAATCATATCACGACACAGTTTAAATTTTAATCGACTGTAAATACGAAACTGTATCTTACATCACGGAGTACGGCTATGATTCGATGGTATGACTGTAGATATGAACTGAAGAGTTATACACGACACAGGATAACTTTTACATGACTCTATTTTACATCACGAAGTATGGCTATGTTTCGATGGTATGACTGTAGATATGAACTAAAGAGTTATACACGACACAGGATAACTTTTACATGACTCTATTTTACATCACGAAGTATGGTTATGATTATTTTGGAATGATTACAGCTATGACCCGAAGAGTTATACACGACACAGGATAACTTTTATATGACTGTAAATAAAAGACATAAATTATGACTTGGTGATTTATTTGACTGCAGGTATCTGACATTTTAGATGTTTACCCTTAAGGAGAACATTTATCTTACTGTAAATTTAAAATAACATTTTACACGGTGTAAGAAAACTTCAGTTCAACACCACATAATCATTCAGGTGTATGAATGGCTACAACATTAAGTTCAAGTTAAAACAACACAGTTATTGTGAGCTAACAAACCAGAACACAAATGTGTTAGTTTGTACACAATCTTTGTATTGGATTTGTACAATCTACGTATAATTAATAATATTAGTAAATTAGATAACTTCATAACATAAAAGTTAAATGCTATATATATATATATAACATTTTGAAAATCACCTCAGATAAAAAGCCTGATGTTACTTCTGGGCGGTTCAAACCGGAACTCCTTTTAACAATGTGACTTCACACCACAACAATGTGTTTAAACAAACACAACTTTCAATTGAACATCATACGTCATTTGTGTTGTTCGAAAACATTTATTTGCGTTACATTTCACACGGGTCTGTGTTTGTGGAACCCAATTTGTGTTATCTGTTAATGTACAAAATAACTTGTTTTACACTGTAACTCGTTCTGTTTTTATTTTTATTTTTTTGGTGTGAAATTTTATATGACTGTAAATTTGAAACGACAGTATCTTGTACCTCAGCTTTTGATGGGACAGATTTCTCTCTGTAAATTAAATCGTTCTTACTTCCGTAGATCTGACATCATTAAATTTGGTTGGTAGCTTGAATTAAAGTATGTATATTTTCACAAGTCACATTGACAGTATTTTGTTTTTTCCGTCTCCAAGAAACATGTATGACATTGATAGTTATTTAAACTTTCCGCCTCCAAGAAACATGTATGACATTGATAGTTATTTAAACTCTGGGTAGTTATTATCTAAGATTTAAAATCTCTAGATATGTTTCATGATTTCAAGTTATATTTCATGATTTCAAGTTATGTTTCATCTATGATTTGACTGGCAACATACGACTTTTCCTGATTTGTTTAGTTGGATCGTAAGACATCTTGTCTGCGCAAAACTTTATCCTATGTAGTACTGTTCTGAAGTATACTTATCTACTTACATCTGACTAGGCTCTATACTAATACTTTGTTCATCCGTTTGGATTTGATCTGACATTTCAACTGGTGAGATATGAATGATTTTTCTGGCGGGACTTGATCTTACAGCTCATATGCTTCACTGTTTATCTGCTCGGTTTCTACCAAACTGTCCATCTGATGAGATGAGTATAAATGTTTACTTAGGCGGTTTTCATCCAACTGTTCGTTCGAGTGAGATATACGTGACCGTTCACGTAGTAAGGTTTAACCCTGTTATTCATCTGACAAAACATCTTTGTTTAGTTGACTAGGTTTGATACCATTGTTCAGCTAGTAAGTTACATTTGTCTGTTACTGTGACTAGGTTTTGATATCATTGTTCAGCTAGTAAATTACATTTGTCTGTTACTGTGACTAGGTTTGATACCATTGTTCAGCTAGTAAATTACATTTGTCTGTTAATGTGACTAGGTTTGATACCATTGTTCAGCTAGTAAGTTACATTTGTCCGTTAATGTGACTAGGTTTGATACCATTGTTCAGCTAGTAAATTACATTTGTCTGTTAATGTGGCTAGGTTTGATATCATTGTTCAGCTAGTAAATTACATTTGTCTGTTAATGTGACTAGATTTGATATCATTGTCCAGCTAGAAAATTTAATTTGTCTGTTAATGCGACTAGGATTGATACCACTGTCCAGTTAGTAAGTTATATTTGTCTGTTAATGTGACTAGGTTTGATATCACTGTACAGCTAGAAAATTTAATTTGTCTGTTAATGCGACTAGGATTGATATCACTGTCCAGCTAGTAAGTTACATTTTTCTGTTAATGTGACTAGGTTTGATATCACTGTCCAGCTTGTAAATTTCAATTGTATGTTAATGTGACTATGTTTGATACCACTGTCCAGCTAGTAAACTATATTTGTCTGTTAATGTGACTAGGTTTGATGTTACTGTCCAGCTACATAATTGCACAGGCAGGAATTAATATACAACAATATATATATATATATAACTCTTCAATCACAATTAAGTTTAATTTATCCTATTTTTGTCTGTTAACATTTTACTACACTGTGTGCCTTTGCTATTATGTAGGTATGATACAAATGCCATCCCTATTATCTTGCTTGCACTGTTTTTGTAAGGATTGATATTAGCCATCCCTACATTTACTTCCTTTTATTGAAAAGTTTTTTACTTTACTTGTATATATATATATATATATGTAACTGACTAAACGATATCCAATAACTTTCACAACTACAGTTTGTTTTAATTTAACTTTGCTTATAACACTTTAACCATATATAAAAGGATTAGAATAATTGAAACTTTCTTGATCCCATTTTAGACAAATGAAAACAAATTTAAAGAAACTAACAAAAATTCATCCAATACTGACAACAAACCTTCCGCTTTTTTTTCATTCAGCTCATGATGATGTAATGATATCCGTTTGATCTCTGAGATCAGAATAAATAGGCCTAGCATGGCCTGGTGATTAAGGCGCTCGACTCGCAGTCTGAGGGTCGCGGGTTCGAACCCCGTCACCCAATAGCCGTTATAGTGTGATGGTCAATCCCAATATTCGTTTGTAAAAGAGTAGCCCAAGAGTTGGTGGTGGGTGATGATAACTAGCTGCCTTTCCTCTAGTCTATCACTGCAAAATTAGGGACGGATAGCACTGATAGCCCTCCTGTAGCTTTGCGCGAAATTCAAACCACTACTAATCAGAATAAGTTTCAAATTCAAAACACAACCAATCAGAATAAGTTTCAAATTCAAAACACTACCAATCAGAATAAATTTCAAATTCAAAACACAACCAATCAGAATAAGTTTCAAATTCAAAACACAACCAATCAGAATAAGTTTCAAATTCAAAACACAACCAATCAGAATAAGTTTCAAATCATGTGCCTACGCACAGGTTTGTTGTTTCTATTTATTGATCATTTACTGCTTGTAGGAGTGTTTAAAAAGATACAGAGATATCATAACAGAAAGTTTAATTTTCAAAAACGTTTACATTTCCATCTTCAGGAAAGTACATGAAAGTACCTAAACCCCCATTTTTTCATAGACTTTCCACATTAGAGCGCGAAGCTATGTTTCTATCATGTGTCAGTACTAAACCTTATCCGTTCATTGGATTAAAGAAAGAAAACTGACATTCAGTGTTTGTTGTTTAATGACATCTCATCTATCTCTGTCTGGTGAATGTCATTCTGTATCTAACACCACGTCTCAATTAGTTGTTAATTTTGTCTTGAACTGAGGAGATACACACCTCAATCAGTTGTTAATTGTGTCTTGAACTGAGGAGATGCACATCTCAATCACATGTTAATTGTGTCTTGATCTGAGGAAATACACACCTCAATCAGATTTAATTGTGTCTTGAACTGAGGAGATACACACCTCAATCAGATGTTAATTGTGTCTTGATCTGAGGAGATACACATCTCAATCAGTTGTTAATTGTGTCTTGACCTGAGGAGATACACACCTCAATCAGTATCTCCTCAGTTCAAGACACAATTAACAACTGATTGAGATGTGTGTATCTCCTCAGTTCAAGAAACAATTAACATCTCACCTCAATCAGATGTTAATTGTGTCTTGAACTGAGGAGAAACACATCTCAATCAGTTGTTAATTGTGTCTTGAACTTAGGAGATACACATCTCAATCATTGTTAATTGTGTCTTGAACTGAGGAGATACACATCTCAATCATTGTTAATTGTGTCTTGACCTGAGGAGATACACATCTCAATCATTGTTAATTGTGTCTTGAACTGAGGAGAAACACATCTCAATCAGATGTTACTTGTGTCTTGAACTGAGGAGATACACACCTCAATCAGATGTTAATTGTGTCTTGAACTGAGGAGATACACATCTCAATCATTGTTAATTGTGTCTTGACCTGAGGAGATACACATCTCAATCATTGTTAATTGTGTCTTGACCTGAGGAGATACACATCTCAATCATTGTTAATTGTGTCTTGAACTGAGGAGATACACATCTCAATCATTGTTAATTGTGTCTTGAACTGAGGAGATACACGCCTCAATCAGGTGTTAATTGTGTCTTGACCTGAGGAGATACACATCTCAATCATTGTTAATTGTGTCTTGAACTTAGGAGATACACACCTCAATCATTGTTAATTGTGTCTTGAACTGAGGAGAAACACATCTCAATCAGTTGTTAATTGTGTCTTGAACTGAGGATATTCTTTTAGTCATCTCCAGATCTGCTTTTGTGTGTTTGTGTGTGTGTTTATAATGTACGTTCAATAATTTTACCAAGTTCGTGCTTCCAATTTTCTCTGTTCGTGATTAAACGATAACGTAGACACAGCAGGCCTGTATCAAATCGATTTTTGTTTTGTAGAATGATAAGAGTATACA